AAAAAAAAAATTAAAATCCTAATTTCACATGTTGATTTTTGATCATTCAAACTCATAAAGTGCATGTTGTTCATGTGCCCAATGCAGCAGTTTCAGCTTTCTGTCAGGTTCAGCACAGCAGACCTACGAAATGATAATGCTCATCTTCACCACTTCTGAGGAGTGATTGTGAATATAAGAAAACACAAGTTGTCAAAAGTATAAGGAGCTGCTAAAGTGTATTAATGTCTGTAACCCCAAGTCCCTCAGCCTCCAGGGGTTAAACTTCCCTTTTATAAAGTCTACACAGCTAGCATCTCTACAGCTAGAGATTGTATACAAACTAGTGTGGGGAATACATACATACCTTGCCCAGGATCTTTTTTAAAAGGGTGTGGTTGGGAGTTAGGGATTGAGGTGTTGATGGCATCTCCTGGCAGAATTGCTGCTGTCACAGCAGCAGCGCCTCCATGTCCGTCTAGCTCCAGGTAGCAGCTCTTCTCTTCCTGTGCTGCTTTGCTCAGCAGAGGATGCTCTCTCTCTTCCTTACTTCCTAAAACACACCTCATGTGAGACTGTTAGGTGCGACAGAGTTTCATGGAGGTGTGGGGGTATCAGGGAATGACAGCATGGGCGGGAAACAGAACGTCAGACGTCACTATTCCTGCTCCGGGAGGTTCGGGGCCCTTCTCACTAGATCATTCTCCCATCTGCTGTTCCACATTACCAGCTTCCTTCCCCAGGTACCAGCTGGCAACTTCAGGATTCCTGTTACTTGATTGGGCAGAACCGTTTAACTCTTCTGTTTTCCTGGCTCTGTCCAGAGGCCACACCATTCACAGCTGAGCTTCCCTTCGATGTTTCTCCTTTTAAAAAGAACAAACCGTTACCTAAGAGAAGTTCTGTCTTCCTCTTAGGCCACCCAGCACAAAATAACTTTTTCCCCTTTACCAAGCCAAACTCTATTTTGCGTTGTGCTCTTTAAAGCAGAGAGGGGTGGAGTGGAGAGCACAAGTGAGCGCTTGGGTCACACTAGACCAGGGACAGCAAGCCAGACAGCCTGCGGGGCCAGGCCTACCTGCCACCTGTTTTTATATGGCTTGTGAGCTAAGGATGATTTTTAAATTTTTTAATGGCTGAAAAAAATCAAAAGAAGAGCATTTCATGACATGAAAATTATGACATTCAAATTTCAGTGCCCGTAAATAAGGTTTTATTGGAAACCCAGCCGTGCTCATTCACAGACATTCATTCATTGTCTGTGGCTGCTCTCACACCCCATCAGCAGAGTCGAGTAGTTGCCACAAAGACAGTATGTCTGCAAAGCCTGAATTACTTATTGTCACGCCCTGTACGGAACAAGTTGACCCCACACAAGTTCATGAAGGCTTATGCCGGTAGATTCTGCCCGTTTTTCTATATGCTATATTAAGACTTTTAACTATAACAATTCCAAACTATAATCATTAAACATAAATTCATCCAGACCTGACTATGACACTTGAACCTGGCCTTCTTTTTCTTCTTTTTTTTGAAGTGGGGGAAAGGTTAGGGGTACAAGTTGTTTTTCTTGTTGGTGTTAGTGGGATTTTTTGTGGTTTTTTAAATAAACAGTAAAGCAATTACTAATTATCATGTTCACTAGGTATTTACTGCAGTCAATGCTTGAAATAGTTAATAAAACTAAAGTTTAAAAATGACAAATTAAAAAAATTCACATTGATCAAAATTTGGTGGCATGTCTTGAAAGATCCCTTGTATGCCAGTTAAGAAACCATGGCTTACACAAATGAGGAGGACAGACAGTAAAACAGTCTCTTCCCTCTTTCATTTTAATTCTTTTTTATTGTGCATATTTAAGGTGTGCAACATGCTGTTTTGATGTATGTGCACATGGTGAAATGATGACTGCAGTCAAGCAAACTAACCTCTCAATCACCTTCCGTAGTTACCTTTTCTGTGTGTGGTAAGAACACCTAAAGCCTACTCTCCCAGCAAATCTCCAGTATACCACACAGTGTGGTGCACTACAGTCCTCGTCTGTGCATCGGATCTAGACTGATTCATTCTGCATAGCTGCAGCCCTTTGACTGACTTCTCCCGTTTCCTCCCCTCTCCACCCCTGGTAACCACCATTCCACTCTCTGCTTCTATTTGACTATTTCAGAGTTTGACTATTTTAGATTCCACATATAAGTGAGATCGTACAGTATTTGTCTTTCTGCATCTGGTTTATTTCATTTAACATAAATTATGTTCTCTACATTCATTTGTGTTGTTGCAAATGACAGGATTCCTTCTTAATAAAGGATAAAAGCTGGATAATATTCCAAAAAGTGAGGTCACAGCTATGGACCTTCCTCAGACCTTTCTCAGTGGTCAAGGTTTACTTCACTGAGGGTTCCGAGAGGCGCATATGCTGCACTGAGTCAACACTGGGACACTGCAGGACACTGAGCTGAGCTAGCATGCAGCAGCTCTCCCGGCCTCCCCAAGTCACACCCGAGTACATCAGGAATAGCAGTACATCAAAATAGCTTTTGTTGATTGGGAAAGATTTCCTCCATGTACAGAATTTTGTAGTTAGCACAGCTCAGTAATAAGTTTGATGAAGATAATTCAGAGGTATATAAATAGACATTCTCTTAGTCTGTGTATTGAGCTCTTTACAAAATAACTTTAAGGTGATTTAAGTGAAATGCTAATGCAGTGGGAAGCATCATAGTCTTACAGAATCAACAGAATTGTTTCCAACAACAACTCTTACTTAAGAAAAAAAAAACAGTGGAAAATCATTAAAGGACCCAGTTAGCTGGATACAAACTGTTTCTATCCTTATGTCAATAATAGACATATCTTATTTAATATAATCTCTACTTTTAGTCAACCCTATTATATGGACCCATTCTGATGGATATTTTGGCTAGATTACAAGTTCTATCCTGGTTTGGTTTTGGTTCTGCCACTGCACGTGTAGAAAGCCTGTAGACGGCTTCTGGTACACAGTCCTCCATGCGTCACGTGAGTCCCTGTGCCCCACTCCTTATGAGGGACATGGCAAAAACCAGGGCTGGCTTGGGTAAAATATCACTGTGAAAAAATGACAGCAAAACTGTCAGTGGTATTTTGTTCCTTTGAAATCTTATTGTTTTTCTTCCTCCTAGATAATATCATCAAGAGGATATTTAATATTTTGAAATTTACCTGGGTCCTGTTTCTGGCAACAGTGGATAGTTTCACCACATGGCTTAACTCCATTTCAAGGGAGCATATTGATATATCTACAGTTCTAAGAATTGAAAGATGCATGCTGACCAGGGAAATTAAGAAGGTAACACTGCTGGTATAATGCTTGTTGTTTCTCCCTACATTAGAAAGACTTAAAAAGTCAATATCTACAACTACAAGTAGGAGAAGACAAAATCCTTTCTCTCCAGGCAGTCGTTGCATAACCCCTTTGCTTTTCTGCATGTTTAAATCTATTCCCTGCACAGAATTAAAATAATCAAACCACTACACACACACAGAGTCCTGGGATAATGGCTCGTTTATTCTTTCTATCCTTTCCCCTCACCAGACTTTGTGGATATACAGATTCTGCCCTGTTCTGTGAATGATTATAGTTTTAGTCTGGGAAGTTTGACCTGAAATTTCTCATAGGAAAAATTAGAAAATATGCAGAGCAACAGAATATAGTCATACGGTGTGTAGATTGTATTTAAAAATAATAGTTCATTTCTGGAAAAGTTGCTATGACTTAGCAAAATTGTCTATATATAAGAAGGGATTTCATGTTTGGAATTACCTGGTAATATTGGGTACCATGGATTAAAGAAGTTGGCACCAATCCCCAACTCTACTAGCATGGTTTCATCCTTATTCTGGATCGGCATGAGGGCTGAGAGGTGTCTGTACTGAGAAATGCCAGTGGCCATAAAGGCACATGCTTCCATAAGAACCGTGGCATGTCTCCTTCTCTGCAGGGCAATGTTCCGACTCGGGAGAGCATCCACATGTACTACCAGAACCACATCATGAGCCTCTCCAGAGAGTCGGGACTGGACACAATTGACGAGCATCCCGAAGCTGCCTCAGGTGCACAGACAGCCCACAGGATGGATAGCTTAGATTCACATGACAGTATCTCCAGGTATTGCACTTTCTAAACAGGGGGTTTGCTTTTGGCAAAGGTACCTGAGGTGGACATCATCCAATATGAGAAATGAATGTATGAGGTGAAAGTTAATCAAAACCTGCATGGAACCCCGCCCTCTGCAGGCGATCTCTGTGTGTACAGCAAAGGAAAGGGAATGTTGTCCCTGTCTAGACTGAACCAGATAAATGCAGACCTCAATAATCATCTATTAGAAATACCCACGCCACTCACAGGCACAGTATGGAGATTTCCAAGCTGGAGGCAAGTTAGGAATGATACTTCTCAATCCCAAAACTACTGTTCATGTCGAGGACTGTGTCTTTAGTGCCTTCAAAATAGCTGCTCCACAGAGTATCTTCTGGACGAGGGTCTTCTGCCTTCTGTCACTATCCTTGATTTTTCCTTTCAGAATTGTTGCTTTAAGATGCATAATAAAAATTCCACAGACAAGTCTGTTAGCTTCCAACTTCTCTGAAGTTTGGAGTCATGTGCATTGTTTCACAGCAGGATTGCAGGTGACACAAGGTACCAGCAGCCATGCCTTGAGCATTCACCTCCAGCCAGCACTAAGCACTGTGTGATGAGGTGCATGCTATCCTCATCCCTATTTTACAAAGTTCAGTCACAAAGAGGTTAAGAAACGTACCCAAAGTCACACAGCTAGGAAGTATATCAAAGCAGAGCCAGGATCCAGAGTCATGTGGTTCAGCTCAGAACCCAAGCTCTGGACCGCTGCGGTGTGCTGCCTCTCACTGCCTCTTCCCGCACCCAGGGTGACTCATGCCTCTTCCGGAATTCCTCAGAATTCTTTGCGTCCCAGTGTTCTAGACAGCTGCTGTCAGTTGTGCAGAGCTAGCTTCTGAGTTCAAACAGAAGCTCCTGTCTTAGGAGGAAAAATTGCATTGCTTGGGATGATTAGAGGGACTGAATGAAATATACCTTGTAACCATCTTCACAGGTGATGAATTGCATCACCGAGGACATTCATGTGTTTATTTATTGTGTTCATTAAACATGTTTAAAAGCACCTACTCTATGCTAGGCCCTGGGCTCAATTCTGGGAGAGACACATGAAGAGAAGAGTAGTCCCCTAAGTGGTTTGAGTCTGGGAAGAATCTCTGAGATAAGGCCATTGCCTCCTGCAAAGCCTGCTGTGGCGAGAGAGGACAGCAGAGACGGGCTGTCTTCTGCCTGCTGGTGCAGAAGTCACACTTCGTAGGCTGAGCAAGGCACAAATGGCCTGGCGACGTATTTGTCTTTCACAAATACTGAATATATTTCCAGGCAAAATAGGGGAAGGAACTAAGACCATTTTATCCATAGCAAACCCAAAATAGATAACTGGAAATTGAATAGATAACCTGAGAGGGAAGAGGTGGGTAAAAAAAAATGTTTTGCTTTGAAGTGCTGTTTTTAACTATTGCTGAATTGCTGTATTTGAGCTTCTCTAATTGTTCCTGTTTTTTGCTACCCAAAAGTTATTATTTATACAGATCATATTTATTGATATAGGAAGATATTTGTTCTACATATATGTTTACTTAAGTTTTCACTTATATATCTATTAGTATATTGTATTATATTATATATTCACTAATATATATATTAATGAAAACTTAAATTTTAAAATAGTATGTATGCTATCTCATTTTTATTTTTTTAAATATATATTCATGCATGTATTGATTTAAATGTAATATTTGTACAGACAAAATTTCTCCTTTGACAGACTCTGTTAAGACAAAAAAATCATTGTTTATTTTGTAGTTTATTTTCTATTTTTTGCAAACCATAATCACTGTCCTATTTGGAAGCTGCCAACCTTCTTAAATTTGTTCTTGTAGTAATTCTCTCTATATCTATAGATCAATGCATTTAAACTGAATTGTTCTCTCTTTAATTCATTTTAATGCTAAAACTTAAAACCCTTTTTTACCCCCATTCTTCCTAAGCTCATATATTCCAAGTATCTCATGGTTGCTCTTCCCTTAATAACACGTGGAGACCACACAGGCAGGTGTGCACAAGTGTACAGGTGTGTGCACAGGGCAGGGGGGATGCAAGGCTTGTCTGAATGTTGTGGATACTTGAGCTGCTGACCAATGCTGATTCCTAGCTACAGGGGTGAAGGAAGGGGAATTGGGGAATCTAAAACTCTCCAAATCCACCCATTTTAGAACCTATTCATGACTACATAACAATTTTTCAAAAAACAAGGGAATGGTAGGATGATTTAAAAAAAAAAAAAAGGCTGAGATTCCCTAGATGTACATTTTCCAAATGCAGGTCCTTTCATTCCTCTATTGGTTTATTTTTGCATACCATTTACAGATGCCCCATGCCCTCAGCTTTGGACAGTGCTGCTCTGGTTCTGCACATATTGAAAACGGGCTGGGTCTGATCCAACCTATGTTTTCCTTATTTCTAATTCCAAAATAAAAGGCTTCAGACAGCTCTGGTTTACTTAACTGAAAGTCATGTTCATATTCAGCTGGGATTATTTCTTCCCACGTAATGAAGAATACAATCATATACATAGTACACAATTCAATTATCATACTTTTGCATCTTTTCTTCAAGAAAATACGCTGCCCCATAATGTAATTTACAATATCTTTTCCACGTGCCTTTTCTTTTTTTACCTCTCTTCTTGCCTTGTTTTATAATACAGAGATTTTTGTTGTTGTTACCTGAATTTCTAAGCTTGACAAGTGAAAAGGGCCGTGGGTGGAATAGGCTGTCCTTATTAATTTGTGAAGATGCTAACAGTGATTAGTAACGTGAACCTCTTTTGAAATTTCATGAAGCTATATACTACCTCCCAAAAGGGGAAAACACACATATACATAAAGTTTTCAAAGCATTTCAAGCTTCCACAGGCTTCCTGAATATTATATATGAGCCTTGCTTGAGAATAGCTACTGCAGAACAAAACTCAGAATCAAAGAGAATATTAGAAAGTGAATTGAGGGCCGGCCTGTGGCTCACTCGGGAGAGTGTGGTGCTGATAACACCAAGGCCCCGGGTTCAGATCCCATATAGGGATGGCTGGTTTGCTCACTGGGTGAGCGTGGTGCTGACAACACCAAGTCAAGGGTTAAGATCCCCTTACTGGTCATCTTTTTTAAAAAAAAAGAAAGTGAATTGAAAACAAGTTTTCTATAAACATACATGATTCCTATGTTAGTGACTTTTAACTGCCTAAAAATGACAGTATGTCCAATTAAGAAATTAACTATTATAAATCACAACTTACGAGGGGAATAGAAGAAGAAAAGGCTGGTTAAAATAAAATCAAGTAGGGCCGGCCCGGTGGCGCACTGGATAGTGCGCCGCTTGGGAAGCATGGCGGCGCTCCCGCCCGAGGGTTCGGATCCCACATACAGACCGGTTCCCTCTCACTGGCTGAGCGAGGCGCGGGAGCAGCACCGAGGGTTGCGATCCCGTTGCCGGTCCCCGGTCTGGTACGGGGGCAACACTGAGGGTTGCGATCCGTTGCCGGACACGGAAAAAAGACAAAAGACAAAAAATAAATAAATAAATAAATAAAAAATAAAATCAAGTAAGTCTGCCTTTAATTAGGGGTCTGCCTTTAAGTCTGACCACAGATTACAAATATAAAACCATATCCATGATCAAAAATTGTGAGATAGGAGATATTTCAATTCATTGATTGCTTTTGAACAAAGACTCAAAATATCCCCCAAATTATAAAATGGTCCATCAATAAATAAATTTACTAGAAAACCAGAACTTTTAAAATTAGTTTTTAATGTATTTTTATTTTGTTTTTAATTTAGAGAAAGGGGAGACACAATAGGGACCCTTTTGTTGTGAGTAAAGAAAGGAGTTCATACACTTGCCCTTTTCTTAACGGCTAAGCCACATTTCTAGTTTCTCTACTTTAGAAATGTTCTAATTTCCAAACAATAATTTGTTTACACTAGAGTGTCCAGGAAGCCATGCTGGTTGCCAGAAAGGCAGTGACCTCTCCTGCAGGGATGCCAAGTGGGAAAGCTCACGCTCAGACACCTGGGACATTGGGAAGGGTCTGGCGGGCACGAGTCTCCATCCACCAGGGAGGACACACGCCCTTGAGTCCTGCCACCCATGTCAGGGGCGGGGTGGGAAGCTAACAAAGGAATTTGTATTGCCTTTGACTTACAGGAATAGTCACGATTTCCTTCAAATCCAGATGTAAAATGCAAAACTTATTTTTCATGGTTGCTCTATGAAATCAGGTATCATCTACCTTCCCAGAAAACACATTAGCTTGGGCTGGCCCAGTGGTGCACTGGAGAGTGCACCGCTTGGGAGCGCAGCGGCGCTCCCGTGGAGGGTTCGGATCCCATGTGGAGACCGGTTCCCGCTCAAGGGCTGAGTGCAGTGGGGTGCAACACCGAGGGTTGCGATCCCATTACCGGTCAGTAAAAAAAGACAAAAAGAAAAAAAAAAAAAAGAAAGAAAACACATTAGCTTGACTTGTGCAGGTGACATTAGTTCCATGCTGAAGAGCATCCCAGATATGAAGGGGTGCTTATCATTGCAGCATTTCACCTACAAGGTTGCCCTGTGCCCTGTGGGGTATTGTCACCCAATGGCATCTCAGTCCTGACTCTACCATCCTTCCCGCACCAGTGGTTGCTCCACTGGGCACCAGGAGATGAGGATTTTAGCCAATGGGTTCTCTCCCTAATGGTATCCACCAAGACCTAAAACATGATCCGGCATAAAAATTAGGCAAAGAGAAAAGTTAACAGACAAAATGAACTGGCATTGCTAGAATTCCTTTGTTATTTTCTTCGTTGCATTTTTTTTTTTTTTTGATGTTGGTTGATATCCAGTTGCATATCAAACCAGCATCTCTCCTACATGCAAGGCATCTAGTTTGGCTTAACTGACTATCACTCAGAATATGGGGTGGAAAATTCAGCTTGTTGTGTTATTCCTGAGCTTCACTCTCTCATTTTGGAGACTGTTTTAAAAAAAAAAATGAAATCTTTTATATACATTTTACATGAGCAGTTGTTATTTCTACTTCAGCAATTCGGTTAATAAAGTCTTTCAACGAACTCAGGATTATGATTCCAAACAAAGCAATTTTTTTAATTAAAGAAAAATCTCTGTTACAAAGTTATTATTATAAATTCTTCTCTGTGAGAGAAATATTGTGACTTGTCATTATTCTATTTCCCTGTCCCACTCAGAGAGTGCCATTTCATAATTTATCACTAGCCATTTTTAAAGCTCCAGTCCTCTTGTGTTTCACTGTCCTGCCAAACAGGTCCTTCCCTGCCCCAGAGCCCCGTTGTGGTGGTCCTCGTTGTGAGCGGTGTTGGTGATGTGTGTGGTCTGCTGCATGGCTGTGTGTTGGTGTGTGAACTGATGTTCCACTGTGTTTAACACTGTGTTTCTGTAACTGTTTGCGCTGCTAGCTGCTACACTGAAGCAACCATGCTGTTCTCAAGGCAGTCTACCCTTGATGATTTAGATGGACCAGAAACTGTTCCTAAAACAAGTGAGCGCGCTCGGCCTAGGCTCCGTAAAATGCTCAGCATGGATGTGTCCTCCTCATCAGCTGACAGTGGCAGTTTAGCATCAAGGTGCTTAACTTGTGCATGCTTCATTCCGTAATTTTGTCACCTTTCCCCTATGTCATTGCAAATATAAGTTCTGGTTATGTATGTTATTTTTTTTTCATTTTTATTTTAAGAATTTGCATGACTAACAAAAGCATAACCACACCACCCTTTCCGAGACTTAATTGTTTCCAGGACAGCACTGTATTAAACTAACCACTCCTTAGTTTTTGTCTATTAAGAGTTTCTTTAAAAATCTTTAGTATAAACATTGTCCTCCATTTTTTAAGTATTTCACATGTTCCCTTTTCAGACATAAGCATGTTTCCTCCATAATTTAGAGGTTTTATAGGCAGCCCTCAAAGGGGGAGTTTTGTTAGGAATGACAGAAAACCTTTCCTCATGATTTCATCATAAGATACATGCAGTAGGGAAAAAATTGAAAATCTGCCATATGTAGTCATTTTAGTTGACACAGAATAAATCTGTCCACATTTTATGTGCATAACTGACATAAAAGTCAATATAGTTCACCACTGGCTTTTGAAAAGAACATTATTATGCAGTAGAATACATCATCTTTGTAGACTGTAACTTATTTTGTTTGGAAAAAATTATTTGGGCTTAAATTTCCTCATTAAGTCCAACCATAAAACAATAATCGTTTAGAAATGATTATTTGCATACAATCCAAAAACTCTCTCTGAATTGCTTTAGAATGGTTGGCAGGTGTCTCGCCTACATTGTGTTTATCCTGACATGAAAATGACCCAATCCAAAATGAATTTCATTTTGACTCCTCCTGGTGTCATATCAGAGGGGCATTATCCTGTCTCTGCTCCAGCTCTGTCTTCTTACAGTGCTGCAGTGTGCTGGGGCCGGGCATGGCTGCGAATGCCCTGGCCATTTGAGATGTCCTCTGGCAGGCACAGGCTTGCTGTGCCATTCCACTCTGTTGAGTCCTGAAGGTACCCTCGGCCCCTTGGGCCACATGGGATCCCAAACCCTAGGGAGCATACTTATAATTGGTTACAGTCGTACTGGAAGTTAGAACAGGTTGGTTGGCTCCAGCGATCTGGAAATTCCCTGGGTGGGGTGAGGGGGGTTGGAGGGTGTCAATTTTATGACCTTCCTAGGAGGCTGTATCTAATGAGGTAAGTCTTAGCAAAACTCTGGTCTGACCTGGCATTCCAAGAGCCTTCCGTATGGTGTACACACTTAGGTGTGCACACCTGGGGATGTGACACACCTGAGCAGGCATCGAGGGTCCGTGCAAATCTGGTTCTTCAGTTCTTCAGTCACGGGATACCATGAAGGGGTCTGCCCAGGCTCATTCATTCAGTCAGTCACTGACACGTCTACACTGGTATCTGTGACAAGAAAAATGGGAAGAGTCTCTGCATTTGAGAATCTCAGTGCTTAGGGAACCCAGCCGCTCACATATGCCATTCAGATAACAGTACCTGTTTCACAGCCTAACACATTATAATCCTACATCCACCAGATTCCACATATCTAGATAATTTTGCCCCCTCCTCTTTGGGAGTTGGACGCGTCTGGGTAGACGAGGATAAGTGGCACGGCAGCTCACACTGGTGTGGCTGCTGTGCTTGAGGGTTGGAAGACAAGGAATAAAAGGAGGAGAGGGTGGAGACAGGAGGAAAGGAGGGCATGCCAAAAGTAGGAGTGGTGGTGAGAGGAGAGAAGCTCATGGAAAATGAGCCCTAGGGCAGGAGCTGGCAGAAGGAACCGAGATTAAGTCGCTGGTGGGGGCGAGGGCAGGGGTCCTGGGGACCGAGCAGCCACCCGGAGAAGGGCTCCCGAGGCGCGGGGCACTCACTGGCACACGGGGCTGGGGTGGCGGAAGTCCACTCGCACGTGATGCGCACCGCACCGGTAAGAAAAAGGCAAAGGATGAGGAAACAGGGAGGGGGCACAACTGCGGGAGAAGGTGGCATTTCCTACAAAGTGCGCAGTTTTTGTACTGCGGCGGGTCCACTGTGCAGGCGGAGAGGAGGGCACAGGGCAAAGCCTGCCTCGTTTCCGCGTGCGCCCTCCCTTACGGAGATGAGTGGCAGCTGTGCCTCACCTGGAAAGGAGCCCTGGAACTCGGAGCAGGCCTCTGCGCTCGGTGCGTTAAAAGGATGTTCCATGACGACGAGCTGGAAGAGTCAGAGAAGTTCTACGTGGGCCAGCCACGCTTCCTGCTGCTGTTCTATGCCATGTACAACACGCTGGTGGCCCGCTCCGAGATGGTGTGCTACTTCGTGATTATCCTCAACCACATGGTCTCTGCCTCCATGATCACGCTCCTGCTGCCCGTCCTCATCTTCCTCTGGGCCATGCTATCCGTCCCCAGGCCCAGCCGGCGGTTCTGGATGATGGCCATTGTCTACACGGAGGTAGGCCTCCACCTCTGTCCCTGCACCCTCTCTCTAGATGGGCCTGTCCTGACTCCCAGCGGTTTCACACAGAACAGTCGGTTTGACCGGCATTCTCAGATTTGCAAAAGATTGCCACCAACATTGCAATTTTGTGCACCCTTTCACACTTCACACCTCACACAAGCTAGGTGCTAGGATCATTCCCATTTAACAGATTAAGGAAACAGATTCACTGAGATTAAATAATTAGCCCAAAGGTACCCAGCTGGAGAGTGGTGGGGAGGCTTTTGACACCTGGCTGTCTGACCTACAGTATTAACCACTAAGAGAGTAATAGTCTTTTGCAGAGTCAAGCGTAGTGCCTGGCATCAGTGTTCAGCAAACGGACACAGAATTCAGTGATACAATAAAGCACTTTGAATACAGTTTGATGCTGCATACATATTTTCCATTTTTAAACCTAAAAGCCAATTTTTATATATCACAACACAAAATTATATGAACACCCACTTACAAATACAAATGACAGAAAGGGTGAATTGCCAGCCTGTTTTCATCCTAGGTGAGGAGCAGTCTGTCCAGTCATTTGGAACTGCCTTTCTACCCTGCTGTGTTAATATAGAGAAGATCAGACATTTTCATGAAAACCATAAGAGTGGGAGGAAAAGGAAGCTCAGTAGATCCAGTGTCTTGGGCTGCCATGTGCTTTGTGTGGTTAGGTTTGTGAAGGAGGTTGGTTTCCTTCCCTGACTCATAAGGAAAAGTTTTCACTTTAACAGCACTCATGATATATGTACAGTTAGAGCCTAGAATTTTGTAGATTTAGAAGTAATTCAACGGTAAAATTAAAACAAAGTTATATAATTAAGCATCTCGAGTATTTAGATTAAATAATTAGCCCAAAGGTACCCAGCTGGAGAGTGGTGGGGAGGCTTTTGACACCTGACTGTCTGACCTACAGTATTAACCACTAAGAGAGTAATAGTCTTATGCAGAGTCAAGCGTAGTGCCTGGCATCAGTGTTCAGCAAACGGACACAGAATTCAACGATACAATAAAGCACATTGAATACAGTTTGATGCCGCATACATATTTTCCATTTTTAAACCTAAAAGCCTATTTTTATATATCACAAACACAAAATTATGTGAACACCCACTTACAAATACAAATGACAGAAAGGGTGAATTGCCAGCCTGTTTTCATCCCAGGTGAGGAGCAGTCTGTCCAAACATATGGAACTGCCTTTCTACCCTGCTGTGTTAATATAGAGAAGATCAGACATTTTCATGAAAACCATAAGAGTGGGAGGAAAAGGAAGCTCAGTAGATCCAGTGTCTTGGGCTGCCATGAGCTTTGTGTGGTTAGGTTTGTGAAAGAGGTTGCTTTCCTTCCCTGACTCATAAGGAAAAGTTTTCACTTTAACAGCACTCATGATATATGTACAGTTAGAGCCTAGAAATTTTGTAGATTTAGAAGTAATTCAACGGTAAAATTAAAACAAAGTTATATAATTAAGCATCTCGAGTATTCGGTTTAAAGTATCGATAGCATGTATCTTCCATAATGAAAATAAAGGATGTAAAGCCAAATANGGGCACACACGGAAAGGCCCGCCTAGACGTGGAGAGCGAGCGACCCGTGTCAGCACCGCTGGCACTGAAAGTGCAGAGTGAACCTCAGCACTTCGGAGATGAATTACCCAAACGTGTTGACACGTCTTCCTATAACAGAGTCTGATATGTTAGGTTGTCTCCAAAGGAAATCTGGGGACAAAGGAAGCTGGGATGTGGGGGCGGGGGCGCAGCAGGAAGGGGGCGTGCTAAATGAAAGTCGGTCATTTGGAGAAACAGGACAAATGTGTTCTTGTGTGGCTTGCGTTAAAAGGATGTTCCATGACGACGAGCTGGAAGAGTCAGAGAAGTTCTACGTGGGCCAGCCACGCTTCCTGCTGCTGTTCTATGCCATGTACAACACGCTGGTGGCCCGCTCCGAGATGGTGTGCTACTTCGTGATTATCCTCAACCACATGGTCTCTGCCTCCATGATCACGCTCCTGCTGCCCGTCCTCATCTTCCTCTGGGCCATGCTATCCGTCCCCAGGCCCAGCCGGCGGTTCTGGATGATGGCCATTGTCTACACGGAGGTAGGCCTCCACCTCTGTCCCTGCACCCTCTCTCTAGATGGGCCTGTCCTGACTCCCAGCGGTTTCACACAGAACAGTCGGTTCCACGGGCATTCTCAGATTTGCAAAAGATTGCCACCAACATTGCAATTTTGTGCACCCTTTCACACTTCACACCTCACACAAGCTAGGTGCTAGGATCATTCCCATTTAACAGATTAAGGAAACAGATTCACTGAGATTAAATAATTAGCCCAAAGGTACCCAGCTGGAGAGTGGTGGGGAGGCTTTTGACACCTGACTGTCTGACCTACAGTATTAACCACTAAGAGAGTAATAGTCTTATGCAGAGTCAAGCGTAGTGCCTGGCATCAGTGTTCAGCAAACGGACACAGAATTCAACGATACAATAAAGCACATTGAATACAGTTTGATGCCGCATACATATTTTCCATTTTTAAACCTAAAAGCCTATTTTTATATATCACAAACACAAAATTATGTGAACACCCACTTACAAATACAAATGACAGAAAGGGTGAATTGCCAGCCTGTTTTCATCCCAGGTGAGGAGCAGTCTGTCCAAACATATGGAACTGCCTTTCTACCCTGCTGTGTTAATATAGAGAAGATCAGACATTTTCATGAAAACCATAAGAGTGGGAGGAAAAGGAAGCTCAGTAGATCCAGTGTCTTGGGCTGCCATGAGCTTTGTGTGGTTAGGTTTGTGAAAGAGGTTGCTTTCCTTCCCTGACTCATAAGGAAAAGTTTTCACTTTAACAGCACTCATGATATATGTACAGTTAGAGCCTAGAAATTTTGTAGATTTAGAAGTAATTCAACGGTAAAATTAAAACAAAGTTATATAATTAAGCATCTCGAGTATTCGGTTTAAAGTATCGATAGCATGTATCTTCCATAATGAAAATAAAGGATGTAAAGCCAAATATATATCTGTTAATCGGCCTGTCCAAAATAATTACTCTTAAACATTACTTCCATAACATCACTCCAAGACAGAGATGATTTCATTTAGGGAATGGATTCCATTGTCTAACACCTCCGTGTGAGTGGGTCCATCAGATCCCATTTCTGACCCAGGAGTGAGTAAGAGGCTGACACCAAGAATGTGGGAAAGGGAACAAGAGCTACTGAAATAGTTTTCACCACAAAATAAAATGTTCCTGGTTAAATGGGGTTCTCCATTTTCTCTGTCACATTGAGGAGTGAACTAAGTGAGAAATTAAGTTGATGTTAATTTACTCTACAATTTGGACTGTGCAACAAAAACAGAACTATGCTGAGCATGAGAATACAAAAATAAATAGGAAAACATAGTCATTTCTGTTTTTCAGTGGCTTAAGACTAATGTGTCAAACAGATATGATAGAGGAAAGAGAAAATTGTATAGGTCAAAATCACATAATGTACTTGTAAAGACTACAAATTAAAGCAATACATAAAATATAAAGATATAAATGTTTCTGTTAATGTTTGTCCTAATTTCCATATTGTATTAGCTGAATAATTATATAAACGTCTCATTAAATCAGTACAAAAGCCAACGACTAAAAAGTAGGGGAAATGACAAGTCATTTAAGTAGTGACGAGAGTAATGCGACTGGCCTTGCTTTGAGTACAGTTGAGGACACTTGCGACGTAAGATATTGCTCTTGTCCTAAAGTCAATGGCCTGTGAGAATGGTAATGTTGCTATTCCACATAACCGTGTGCATTCCTGCCATCAAACTGTGAAATGAATTTGTTTTCTTAATTTTTAGGTCACTATTTCTTATATATAACAATTTCTAAAAGGTGGAGTAATTTTTTAAATTTCTCCCCTCCATGTAGGTGACAATTGTTGTCAAGTATTTCTTCCAGTTTGGGTTCTTTCCCTGGAATAAGAACGTGGAGCTAAACAAAGNAAGTACCCTTGTATTAAATGGTCCAGTGAAGCCCAGAGCTGCTTCCTTAAGCTTCATGTTGAGAAGCCATTGGTTGCCTGCTCCAGGAAGCCCTTTATACAGGATGACTGTATCTCACGTTCAGGAACTCTTGGCCTTCTCCTGAGCAACTATGTGGATTTTTTCTTCTCACACACTGAATTATAAACTAAGCCTGTAAACAGGCCATTCAACTCTAGTAAACAGAAATTATTGCACAGCCTACATTTTGTGTATTAATGTACCTATTGACACACCCTTACTTTCCTTCTCTTATTTTAACCTTATNAGGAGTGAGTAAGAGGCTGACACCAAGAATGTGGGAAAGGGAACAAGAGCTACTGAAATAGCTTTCACCATAAAATAAAATGTTCCCGGTTAAAATGGGGTTCTCCATTTTCTCTGTCACATTGAGGAGTGAACTAAGTGAGAAATTAAGTTGATGTGAATTTACTCTACAATTTGGACTGTGCGACAAAAACAGAACTACGCTGGGCATGAGAATACAAAAATAAATAGGAAAACATAGTCGTTTCTGTTTTTCAGTGGCTTAAGACTAATGTGTCAAACAGATATGATAGAGGAAAGAGAAAATTGTATAGGTCAAAATCACATAATGTGCTTATAAAGACTACAAATTAAAGCAATACATAAAATATAAAGATATAAATGTTTCTGTTAATGTTTGTCCTAATTTCCATATTGTATTAGCTGAATAATTATATAAATGTCTCATTAAATCAGTACAAAAGCCAATGACTAAAAAGTAGAGGAAATGACTAGTCATTTAAGTAGTGACGAGAGTAATCCAACTGGCCTTGCTTTGAGTACAGTTGAGGACACTTGCGACGTAAGATTTTGCTCTTGTCCTAAAGTCAATGGCCTGTGAGAATGATAATGTTGCTATTCCACATAATCGTGTGCATTCCTGCCATCAGACTGTGAAATGTATTTGTTTTCTTCATTTTTAGGTCACTATTTCTCACTATTTCTAAAAGGTGGAGTAATTTTTTAAATTTCTGTCCTCCATGCGTAGGTGACAATTGTCGTCAAGTATTTCTTCCAGTTTGGGTTCTTTCCCTGGAATAAGAACGTGGAGCTAAACAAAGATAAGCCTTACCACCCGCCAAACATCATAGGAGTGGAAAAGAAGGAAGGTTATGTTCTTTACGATCTCATTCAACTGCTGGCTCTGTTCTTTCATCGATCAATTTTGAAGGTACTGCACGTTAACTGTGAATCAGATGGTGTTGGGGATGGCAGCCCCTGTAACATTCCTGGAGAACTGGAACATTAGGATTGGTGAGGAGGCTGAGTGGGTGGCCTCTACTTGTATGCTCTTTTTTGAAAGAAAAAGGAAAAAAGGTTATGTTCATTTAGTGG